TAGGGCTGAATGCTTCAGATGAGTCCATCAGGATGCAGATCTTGGGTAGTAAAGACTTGCCATCAGTTTAGGAGGTGTATGCCTTAGTGCAGTCAGAAGAGAGTAGAAGAAGTGTGATGAATTGTGTAGAGGGGGAGTCAGTTGCCTTAGCTGTCCAGGGAAATTCATATACAAATGTCAGAGGTGCTTTTAAGAAAGGTGACTCTCAGAAGAGAAGAGATAAGAGCAAACTTTGGTGCACTCATTGTTAGAAGACAAGACACACTAGAGATACATGTTGGGATCTCCATGGAAAACCTAAATGGGCATAGGATTTGGGTAAGAAGTCAACACCTGATTAGGGCAAGAAACCAAGTCAGCAGAATTAGAAAAAGTATAACTCAGCTAATATGGCGTCTCCAGAGACTAGTCCATTGGTAACTCAAGAGAGGCATCCCAGGTCTGACCCTTAGGAAGAAATTATCAACTCCCGTGACTATTTGGAATTGTATGGTAGGACTCTCCGCCAGATGGATTTTGGTCCTACTCCCTCTACCTCTTTCGCGTCTACATTAGGTAACGTTGCCACTGCCTTCCATGTGTCATCTCATACCACTGGTTCTCCTTGGGTTATTGACTCTGGAGCCTCAAACCATATGACCGGTAAGTCAAATTTATTTCAGAGATATATCCTTCTTTCTAGGAGAGATAAAGTGAGACTAACTGATGGTTCTCTCTCTACCATAGCTGGCCAAGGTACCATACCTCTCCCACTCGGCCTTACCCTTTTTAATGTACCGCATGTTCCGAAATTACCTAAATTTGCTGTCCATTAGTAGTATAACTCACTCCTTGAACTGTTCAGTCACTTTTTTTCCGTTTTCATGTGTGTTTCAGGATTTTGCCTCGGGGAAGACGATTGGTAGAGGAAGCATGGTGGATGGTCTCTACGTGTTGGAGAATAAAGTTGGTTTTGTGGCTATAGAGTCCATGAGTTTGTCCAGCGAGAGTCAAGCCTATTTATGGCATAGTCGTCTTGGTCATCTTTCTTTTGAGTCATTAAAAGTTATGTTCCCAAAGTTGTTTGAGTCCTTGTCAGTGAGTCAGTTACAGTGTCAGACATGTCAATTGATTGTGTGACAAGTTGGGCATGATTGACATCTATGCACCAACTTGAGGGGGAGTGTTGAAATAATTTAGTTATTTGTGTTAGGGTTTGTTTGGCTAGTTAATGCATTTTTTATTCTCTGTTATTTCTGTTATTGTACTCACCGCAGGGGCACAAGAGTCTTTTCCCTTCTTATTTTTGCCGCCTATATAATATAATAGAAGTTGGCGCCGCCAGCACTGTTCCATTGCTCCAAACCATTTTCTTCTTCCTTTCTTTCTTCTTCTTTTCTCTCTTCTTCCCTTCTCTTCTCTACTTCCTCATATTTCAATCAGATTTATTGCCAAGATACATGACCAAACCAAACCTTCATTTTGGAAGCATGTGAGGCATATCCTTGGAGACATGCTTCTAGGCAAGACACTCAAAAACGCCCTAAGGTTTATGCTAGAAAGACAGGTGCTTCTTAGGCATATGCCTCAAATTCCTTTTGCATGAGGTGTATGCCTTTGGTATGCCTCCTCATGCACTTCATCCATGCCTCAAAAAAGGAAAAAAAAAGAAAACAAAAGAAAAGGGAAGGGAAGGATGGAAGGAATAAAAAAAGAAAGAACTCCTCCTCTTGAGGAGGCATACACTTAAGAGGCTTACACCTCTTTATTCTGAACTACACCTCATTCTTCCAGGTAGTGTAATACCTTGTGTCGTGCCTCCGCATTTTAAAATATTGAACCTGTTGTAATTTGTACATTTAGAGTGTTAGACAGTTTTGTATGCCCTTAGCTTCAATCAGAATGATGTACATTATGAGTTTATTGTAAATGAATAAAAATACATATTTGATTCATGTTCCCTTGGTATGTTTCTGTGTAATACCCTTAAACTGGACACTTAATGAGACTCGTGTTAGTTTAGAATG